AACATTAACAAAGATGACTTAACAAGTCTTGGTAGATGTGTGCCTATGTGCATCTCCTCCTCAGACTGTACCTAGAGCACTGCTCAGGACCCACATCTCTGTATTGACATCAATATTTTCAGCTTCCCACCACCTCAGAAAGTTATGGGCCTGCCTCCTACTCAAGAATGCATGGTACTGACTGCATTTTGGTTACTTTTATCTCTAGAGAGATCCTGTGAGGGGCCCTCAACTCTGGAATTTATTCCCCCCTTTGCTCAAAAACAGCCTCCAACAATCTTTGACCTTCTGCGTAAGCCGTGAGGCCCAAATCCAAGGATTTGCTTTGGGAGAAGCATAAGAAAAATTGGCATTTGTGGGTGTGGTAGGAGAACATGTTGTCTATGCCAGATTTAGTCCTGAGTTTATAATTTTCTCATGTTGTGACAGTAATCCTGCACAGCAGCGTGGCCTGAACCCATAAATTCTAAGGCTTTCCTAAATAGTCACAAATTGGGGAAAAGAAAAGCATCGAAATCTAGCAACATATGAATGATTGTGTATTTGTGAACAAAATGACCTGGCAAACAAGGACATCATAAGTCACTTTTGCTAAAATGATCCTTCCAGCCTTGCAAATCACACAAGCTCTGCATGTCTCCGGCACTAAGGGCGTACAAGGGAAACTGCAATGTTGGGACTGCTGATAAAGGGACAAATAACATTTAATTAACTGAGAATACTTAATGTCTTGCCCTGCCTATGTTGCAACTGAGAGGCAAGCTGTAAACACCTATTAAAACAGCACTATTATGTCCTACTAGGAAAGTTCTGTCTGTCACCTTTTAAATATTTAAATCTCAGATTCTTTAAAAGCTGTTTCCGCTGCTTTTACTCTTTGGATGTAAACAGATTTGTTAAATATTTCATTTGTTAAATATTTCACCCACCCACGAAGCTACAGTCATTTACATAACTTAATGAAGGCTGCATTATTCATTGAACTTCTCATATAACATTTTTTGTAAGACATTATTAAACAAGTGAAGCAAGCCAGTCTAGTAATGAGTCTTCTCTAAACTTGCTGCCAGTTACATTTCCTTTCTCCTAATCTATCACTCTAATGGTTGCAACTAATAAACTTTTTGAATTTTTGCTGCTAATCTGTATATGTTTTGCATTGCATGCTGGATGTATAACTTGACAGAGAAATTACAATACAAACCACCTGGCAAACAAAACTATCTCAATTAAATGCTATCCAAACCCACCCCACTCTTTTTTGTTATAATAGAGGACAACTACATGTCACATAGTACCTTTAAGCCATAAATAAATTCACTAATTTGGGCCTGGAGCATACCAGCAGTGTATCTCAAACACAAGATTTGTGTCTGCATTTTAAAATTCCTAAATCTTTGCAAAAGTCATTATATTAGTTTGGTTTATGCAAATGTCCTGCATAGCCTTGTAAAAGATCCAGTAGTCTTGCATATAATCCTGTTAGGCTGTTCTAGGAAAGATGATATGCAATAATTCTCAGGTAAAGAAATTCACCAATAGGTTGCTTACACATGGGCTATTTAATCTGTGTTTAAGACTATATCAAAAGTAATATTGGATTTTCAGGGAGTCTAAGCAGTGCAGCTCCCTTTGAGATAGATGGCAGATTTTCAGAATTTATACCTCATAAAATCATTTCCAATGATTAAAAATAATAATAAAAAAAGAATAAGAAGAAGAAATAGTTGGATCCAGGGTTATAATTTTACATATTAGTTTCTAAAAGACAGGCATACTATTTTATCAGAATCCACTCTGAAAACCTCTGCAGATATGTAGAATTAACAAAAAACAGCAGTGTTCTGTTCTCAAAGATGGCAGATTTGTAAAAACATTTTTGATGCAGATTTGTAAAAACATTTTTTAAAACTTTATGTAGCACGTAGGAAAATACAACTTGAAAGTCAAAGATGAAGTATTTTACATATTATGAAGTATTTTTCTTGGTACCTCTCCAAAGGTTAATTCTAAATCACTGAACAGAATAAAACAAGAAAACAAACAATAGATTGAAATGGGGTAGAAAGAAGGAAAGCCTTTTTGTCAGCCTCTCATCTTGCAAGGTCCAGGAAAAGACTCCTGTAAAGAAATAAAATAAAATAAAATAATAAAAGTAGGTTCAAAACCTTAAGCACACAAGACTTCAAATTATATTGTCCTTTGAATAAGTACTTCTATGAACCGTAACAAAAGAAAATCTTTTCCAGCTCAACTGCTGAAAACAACATGCAAGTAACAGGTTTTTGTTTCACAAGGACAAAATAAATCAACCTAATCAAGTTATTTTTAATCATTTTCAATAAGTCATCAGCATTTTTTTTCTTAGTCATATAACCACAAGCAAAATTCACTTTTACCTGTTTTGACCTCATCTGGACTTTCAATCAAGTATTGATTTATCAAGTAGCATTCCTCAATGCCAGTTTACATCAGTGTAATTCTTAAATGTCCTTTTAATTGAAGAATGATACAATTCTGTGTTGTTAAGAGAACACATTCAGAAGTTCTAAGCTTTAGAGGTGCTGCTGACTGGCAGGAGCTGTTACTCGCATGATTTTAGGAGAAGCGTGGGTTCTATTAACTCACCTTACCCCCGGGGAAGAATCAGCATGCTACATATAAATCACGGCTTTTTGCTCCAGGACCAAAGCACAGCACCTTCTAAGTTGTGTGTGATTTTTCGAAGAGAGACCTGGTCAAACATTTTCCTTTTAAATAACAGGCTAACCAAGAGAAGGAATATGAAATACCCTTCCTTCTGTCTCGGTGCAGCACCCCAGCACAAACCATGCTCATGTGGGGAGCTGAAACGAGGACCCGGTCTGCCCAAAAAGCAATTCGTTTTTTGACAGGTAATTTTTCAATAAAATCAGTTTCTGGACCCAGCATAACAAGAGAGGTGGGAGCTGGGGGTGCAGCACCTAAACAGCGACCACGGCCTCAGCATGTGCCCACCCCAGGCTCTGCCGAGCAGGCAAAGCTGCGCTCACAGCAGAGCTCACCTGAACCTGGTCTGCAGCCAGCACCCAAGCTGTCAAAATACAGCTGCAACAGGGATTAGCAGGGGTTGTAAAACCTGCTCAAGAAGCTGGGCAAATATTTTAGCAATTAACCCACACTGAGCTCCGTTTTACTGTGGCTGCGCTGCTACCATTTCTCAGGTTGGCTTGTTTAAAGCTGGCTCCAGGATGCCTAAACTGCACAGCAGTGACAGACTGCTTAGCTACAGAGATAAATTATTACAGGGGCAGTACCTAACATAGGTTATGTTGTCATGATTTACAGCAGCTGAGGATGTGCCCCCAGATGTCCAGACAAAATCAAATTAAGTATATGATATTTTTTCTTCTTCTCACGTAAAAGCCATGCAAACTTGACTCAAAACCAAAAATGAAAGACTTGCATGTATGACCTTAGACTTACACTGTGAAAGTGTTTGCATTCTCCAGACAGCACTTAGGTTCCCATTCTTTATAAAAATAAAATATAAACTAAAATAATATGAAGACGATGCAAAAAGTTCCCACATATAAAAGATTTTAATTAAAACCAAACAAAACATTTAAAGAATATCAACATCTATTTGGATTTGGAGAATCCAGAAGAAAATGTTAGTAAAGAATACCAAGACAAGAGTCCTGCTGCACCTCCAAATCAGGATCAAGGTTTGCAATTTTCCACTACTGTACTCATAATAAAGAGTTATTAAACTGAGGTTATTCATCAAGTCCCTGAGAAACATAACAGTACAAGAAGTTTGCACAGGAAAAAATATTTAAGATTTTAAAAATTGTCAAGAAGACTCAGGTACAATTTAAAATTAATGTATTTTGGGGCTACAAAAAATTGGATAAAGAAAATTCTTTATAGTTATGCTCATATGTAGGCTGTATCTAAAGCCTTATGTTAGAAGCTCCTGTGTTTAAAATGCTAGCTGGAAACATATCAAATGTGTTGTAGAAACACCCCTTTAAAAAATGCCAAACCTCATAGATGCTATTAAGCACCTGTAGCTATTTTGGGCAACTTAGCTTTGTCCTTAATTTTGATCTTGGAAGAACATAATAAAAAAGTGACTGTTTCCCAGAAGTAAACAAAAAAATGTAATTATTCTATATGGTGCTACAAGTGCTCATGACACTGAATTACATTGGTTTACTTTGTAGATGTTTATAGAGCCAGCCTATGTTGTTTGACTTTTGAGGGAAGACTAATAGGTGTAGTAAGCTGGGGTGGCCACAAAACCCCTTATGGTTTAGCCAAAATAGGGGTCATGCCTAGGGCATTTTATCTGCCCTGCTTACACACCCCCGGGGAATTGCATCTCAGCAGTTGATTCTCTGTTAATCAATTCACATTAGTGCCTGCCTTTTAGTTTTCACTTTACTGAATTCCAGGAAAGAAGTTCTTAAACCAAATGCATGCGCTATCTCTCACCTAGTCAGAGCTGTTGCATTTCAAGGAGAAATAAGCAGATTTTATTTGCTCTACCAGCTGATAAGGGACACCTTCCTAAGTAAAGATTCATAGCCAGCAAGCTCAACACAGAACAAGATTCAGTGGTGTGTTTACACAGGTCAGCACTAATATGGGAGGAGAGGACATTTATGGATTTTTTTCCTCAACTAGCTCCAGAGAAAGACTTATGTGACATGATTCTGCTTTTCTTTTCTTTCTTATTTACTGTGGCTCAACATGATGTGCTTGATAAGGAGACCTGTAGCACTTGCCATCACTCCATGCAGTTTTCGAGCATGTAGTTTTGTACTGTTCTTGCATTTACAAACTAAAATTTGTAACAATTAACTACTCATCAGCAACTACACATGAAGGAGGGAAGAGTTATGAACACAAAAATAGCAAATGCCTCATTCACAGAAGCAGATCTGGCTTTACATCCAAAGCCTAGAGCCACATCCATTAAGTTACTCTCTAGCATACACACAGATCTTCATACAGAGGATCATCAAAAATAAACTTTATTATCAAACTTAAAATTCACACATTAAACATACAATCTAGACACAAATAATACTGAAAACATTCTCAGACAATAACCACCTCAGGTAATTTGGATGAGTAGCTAGTTACCATTGTTTTGAATGCTTTTCGGATATTTCTTATACATACACCATCCTGAAATGTCTTCAAATGCTTAGCTGGCCAGCTCTCAATGATATTTTTAAATAGGGGAAAACTTATTTCTATAGAAATAACATTATCTAATTATGAATCAGAGACCCATAATTGTAGTGCTTGGGGGAAAAAATATCATAGCCTCTTGAAATACTTAGAAGACATAAATAACTATTGTACATTTACAAGTTTTAAATATTTAAAGGTCTTTGTTACTATAAAAAGTTACTATGTACATATTAAATGCTATATAGAAATCCATTTGGAGGCAAGTGTTGAGCTCTCAGATTTGACCGCTGAAACCTATGAATTTGGCAGGCAGATTGTCCACAGGGTACACTATGGGGCCTGTTTTCATTGTAGGAGGTCCATTCAGCAGCTGCCAGTCACAGCTCCGAGCCAACTCCACTGTAAATATTTTTAGAAGGACTTTTGCAAACTCTTTGCCCACGCAGCTCCTCAAGCCCCCACCAAAAGGAATGAAACTGAACCTAGAGGAATCCTCTGGAGATGGAGACATGAAGCGATCTGGGTTAAATTCTTCCTTGTTGGTAAAGAGATCTGCCACATCATGTGTATCACAGATGCTGTAAATAACATTCCAGCCTTTAGGGATTTGGTAACCCTACAAAAAAGAACAGAAAGGAGATGTGGAACACCTTGCTGTGTTAAATAATGTGAAGTGACAGAACAGGACACATCAGTGCACCCCACCTCCCCTCCTGGCTTCTTGCAGGTCACCCTAAGGCAGACAGGCTGCATGAACACAAAATACTTTGCAGCTGCTCTGAGGAGTTGTACCCAAACCTTGCTTACATTTAGCTCAAGGGTCTTGAGTGCAATCCGAAATCCTCCAGGTACAGGTGGGCTCAGCCTGAGGGTCTCTTTGATGACACAGCCTGTGTACTTCAGCTGCTCCAAGACCTCCATGTCCAGCTGCTTCTCTTGGTTGGAACTGCACAGTAACCCCTAGAAAGGAAAATGCTGCCATGACATTCTGAACCATGCAGCCAGGGCTCCTGGCACTGCAAAGCAGCTGCCCCTCAGCTATAAGCAGTATTTTCTTGCCACCCCTAAAAGTAGGGCACCACTGGATCAAAGGGAGCCCTGTCTGGGATACCTGTCCTGGAGGTGCCTTCCTCCCACCACCCCCTCCTGTGAAATGCCTCTGGGGAGGACACACCTTGACCTGCAGCTCTTTCCTCACTTTCTGCAGGACTTCATGGTGGAGCCCTAGGAAGGCGATCAGCGACGTGGCAGCACTAGCAGTGGTTTCATGACCCCCGAACAGCAGCTCTGTGGCAGATTCCTTCAGCTCCTTACACAAGGGATAGAAGAGGCATAAACCAGGCCTTGAACACAGTATCTCTACCAGGCCCACTCAACCACTGCTATGCTGTACATCATTCCCAAACTGGAACAGACACCCAGGGGCCTAGACGGCAGTGGCTGGTGGTGCTTATGCTCCCTGTGAACATCTCCCCATCCAACAGCCTGACTGTAGCCTCTGCACTCTAGTGCTCAACAGCAGCTGGTTTATTTCATGGGGAGAGAGAGCATCTCCTGCTCTTCCCTCTTGTCCCCACAAGGCAAGTGTGATGTTCTTAAAGGGCCCGAGGGAAAGAGATTGATCCGGTCCTGGGACCCTTACCTGCATGTTGAGCTGCTCGCCGTTCCCCTGTGTGTGTTCCATCAGCAGCTGCAGTGCATCCTTGTAGCCCCCCTCAGGCTCCTTGCGGGCCATCTTGGCACGGATGTTCTCCTCGATCTTGGCATGGATGATGTTGCGTGCCCGCAAGCCCTGACCAAGCAGGAGGGAGAGCAGTTTGAGTCTTGGACAGTACCGCCATCCCTCCCCCCTGATCCCCCCGTGCCCCGGCCGCAGGGGCACCTCTTTCCTCCTGGCCCGCCGAGAGCCTTACCCGGTAGAGCCCACTGAACGGCACATCGATGGGCAGGGAGAAGAGGTTGCGGATCATCTCCTCGAAGGCCTCGACCAGCTGCTGCTCGCCGTCGGGGCTGGCCTGGCGGGGCTGGAAGCCCAGCAGGATTCTCATGGCAATGCGAAACATGAGGCGCTTCACCTCGGGGTACACGAGCAGGCAGGGCCCGGCGGCGCCCAGCCACCGCGCCAGGCAGGCGCTCACCTCCTCCTGGATGACGGGCACGTAGTGCTGCAGGGCGTCCCGGGAGAAGGCACGCATGATCACCTGCCCGGGGGGACGAGGAGGAACGGGACAGAGGCTCAGCAGCCGCGCCCGAGGCGGCCCCGCCCGCTCCCCGCCCGCCGTCGGCCCGTACCTTTTTGCGGTGCTTGTGCTGCCCGTTGTGGAGGTTGGAGAGGCAGCCCGAGCCCAGGATGGTCCGCACCGAGGCGGGCCACTGCACGGAGACGAGCCGGTGCTCGCCCAGCAGGATGTGCCGCACGTTCTCGGCGCCCATCACCCGTACCGTGGGCCGCCCAAAGAGGTGAGTCTTGTAGATGAAGCCGTATTTCCTGCGTTTCATCTGCAGGAATTTCCGCCTCTAGACAGGGGATGAGAGGGAGGAAATGATAAAATAAATTTTAGAAAGCAGAAGAGGAAGAGGCAGGGAGAGCAGCTCTTTCCCACCTGGGCGCGCTGGGCACGGGAGCCTGTCAAAGTTGCCGCTCATCTCCCTCCCCTGCAGCCCGAGGAGCTCTGGCTCCAAGGGGCGCCTCTCCGCTCCCCGCGCCATCGCCTGGCCTTACCTGCAGCACCAGCTGCAGCGTCTCCCCGAAGAAGGGGAGCCCCATGGTGCCCGGGGGCAGCGGGAGCGGGCAGCTGGGGTCGCGGCTGCTCACGCAGTACAGGTCCCAGAGCTTGACGGCAGCCAGAAAGAGTAGCAGGGGCAGCAGAAAGGTGCACAGGGCGCTGGCGATTAGGGCGGAGAAGCCCATGACTGGGGAGCGACTCCCGCCCAGCCCCCCGGGAGCTCTGAGTGCGCGGGCTGGGCTCGCCGCGGGCCGCCTTTTATACCCTTCCCAGGTTGCTGCCCACCCCTACCTTGGTCCGATAAATTAGTTCACCCAAAGTTCATCTTTAATTGCGGATTGCTGCCTGGCTCCTCCCCTCGAAATCTTTAACTATTTGCTTTGCGTAGTGCATCCTACGCTCCGCAGACCGCTGCCGGGGAAGGAAAGGTGCTGTCGGGGGCGGCGGCGGCGGCTCTGGGCTCGCTGACCCTACACCGCTCTCGGCGAGTGAGCTGCGGGACGCCGCCGACAGCTGACAGCCGGTGATCGGCCACCAGCGCCTCTTCGTCCTCGGATTTATCGCCGATGCTCGTTCGAGACCAGCGGCGGCAGAAATTCCCACGCCGGTACCCGGCGGCCCGGCTGTCCGGAGTCACCTACCCCGCGGCGCTGCCGCCCGGCGCCGATGCGCTCTGCGGAGCTTCTTCGTCCGCCACCGTAGTCGGCTGGGAACGGCGAGGTAGCGGCCGGACCCGGGAGACACCGGGCCGGGACCGTGGGGCGGCCGGAGAGGACGGTCCCCCGTGCTGGGGCAGCCCGGAGACCCCCATGAGCAGAGCAGCAGCTGTGCCGGCGCATCGGCGGAGGAGCCTCCGCTGGCCCCTGGTTCACCTCGAAAGGCACGGCTTGTATTTCTGCCGGCCGTGGAGGAAGGAGCCGCCGGCAGCAGTCCGTCTCAGCCTCCCGAAGCAGGTTCAAGCGCGGGTCACCGAGGGAAGAGAAGGTGAGCGCGGAAAGGAAACACCAAACTCGCCGTTCCCAGCTCCTCTCCCCCGGATCTACTGCCCACCCTCCCCTGAGGCTCTCCGGCATCCCGTCGGGGCTGGCGCGGCCGGGAAGAGGCGCTCGGCACGGCCGGGACCCCGCCTGCAGCCGCGGCGCGGAGGGACCGGCGCTGCTCTCCGGACGGGAGCGGCGGCTCCGGGCAGGAGGAGCGCTGCGGGAGCGGGGCCGCCTTTTAAACTGGCTGGCTGTGGGCGCTGCTGGTGCCGGCGCAGGGGCCGCCGGCCGCTGGGGAAGGGGCGCCCGGCGCGGACCGCGGCTGCGGGGCGCGGAGCTCTCCGCCGACCACGGCTGCTGCCAACTTTTTTTTTTCCTTTGCGGTTTTTATCTTTCCCCTCCCTGCTGCTTTTGCTTTCTTGTTCCCAGACAAGCTCAATAAACGCTGGAAGTTTTGTGTGTGTGTCTGTGTAGGGGAGAGGGAGATGTCACTTTTAATTATTATTTTTCTAACAATCAACTCATCACACGAGACCCGCCCTCCTCTTACGATGCCTTGTCGGAGCGGGGCTGCCCGCCTCCGCAGCCCCTTGCCCAGGAGGGAACCCCCCGGAGGGTGCTCCCCCGGCCCCGGGCCGGTATCCCCTCGGGGCTCGCCTCGGCTCCGCGGGGCCCGGCCGGCGCTGGCCGGGAGCGGCGGCCGCGCCCTGACCCGGCGCTCTCCCCTTGCCGGGCGCTGACCTGCTTGTGACCTACAACACGGACCGTGACATCTGCGTGAACCCGGCCGGCAACCGCGCCAAGTTCACTGTCTATCAAAATAACGAGATACGGTGGCCTGAGCACCGATAATTGCCACAGGAAGGCTTTATTATCTTCCCAGCTGTGTATTCCCCAGCCATCGGCTTGAAAAGAATCAAATGGTAAAGAGTGAAAGGGATAATTAAAAACATCTTGGAAGGGGGTCAAGAAATTAACAGCCTAATATGAACAAACTTTGATTACAAGTAACAATTATTACACTTCATTTGTAAATGCTTGTGTTTATCCGCAAACAAAATCAGTTTATCAGTTTCTTTTTGTTTATTTTTTTTTTTTCTTTTAAACTGGATTTATGTTACATTTTTCAGCGGGTTTGTTGGCGCTCAGGGTAATTTTTAAGTGCACTGCTGGAGGAGCCCTGACCTTCCTGCACAGGGTGCCGGACGCTGCAGGCCCAGCCCTGCCCACGGTGAGACCCTGAATCGCCTGCGGTCTCAGCCAGCCAGTAGCTCCTGCTAATTAAAGTTAGTCATTGCCACTTGCAGCCACCATCTACTGATTTCACCTCTGATAGGCAAAAAAATTCACCTTTCAGGACAAGGTCAGGAGGGCCAGAGGCTCTGGTTCACTACAGGGTCGACTTGCCAATAGCACTTAACTCAGCCCTGCAGTTCAACCTCTTCCAGATTTGACCTGTCACGTTTGGGAGCCAGGTTTCTGCCCGGGGTAGCGTGGTGGTCACTGCACAGCCCTCCGACAGTTAATGCCAGCACTCGCCCTGCTGCAGTCCCCCAGCAAGGGGGATTGGCCAGGGCAAGGCCATCTCTAGCACTGAAGCAGGATGATGATAAAACTTTCAGGAGACTGGAGAGCTCCCCAGAGCCTTTCCAAAGGGACACTGTCTTCGTGCCATGTTTTGGCCCTCACAGGTCAAGCTGGTTCTTCCCACAGAGCACACAACACCACCAGGCATGGAATGCTCTGGAGGGACAAGGAGGATTATTTTCCCACTGCATTCACACAGAATCCATGACAGTGGGGAGTAGAAGTGAAGCTGAAAGAAACATATAAACACGTTGTGGATCAAGGACCTGAGCCCAGCTCTGTTCTCAGTACACAAACAGGACTCAATTTTATTTTACATGGGAGGGAAATACCCTGTAGGGGTACTCAAAAGCCATCAAAAAGGGCACCCTCCGCACCCACATTTAGCCTCAGGTACCACCCCCTGGATGGACGCATGGAACTGCTGTCCTGACACTTTCCCTGGCAGAGCTGAGCGGACAGAGGTGACAGTCAGTCTGGCCAGCCAGCCAGATACCACAGGGCCTGTGTCACCTTGCAAATGTCCCCTCTGCTATGTGAACAGCATAATCAGGAATAAGGGACTTTCTACCACAAATCAGGCATATTCAGAAATGTCTGTTTTCTAAACATTTGTTCCCCAAAGCCCCCCCTCCCTGCTTCAGTCCAGTCTCATGGGCAGACTGTGACTGGGGAGAATATCCTTGCGGGACCTCAGAGATGGCTTCATGGCAGACCCCAAGCAGCAGCACAGTGCAAAAGCACAACATACACAGCTACTACTAGTGGGTGATTATATCCTCTTTGTGCCAGCTCTAATGGGAAGTGCATTAAGGAGATTAAATATTTACAATAAAAACCACTTTACACCCTATTATTCTAGCTAGAGTTGATGCTGGGGATTGGGCAACTCTGGCTTGTGTTTTCCTGCAGAGCCCCTACCTTCCTTCTTTTTCCATCTAAAAAGCTACAGTGTGCAGGATGTTTGTCCTGCCCCTCCTATAACACACCTACAGGAGATAACCCTGGGAGTCTTAGCTGTGGGTCTGGGAGTTTTGCTCCCCATCCCCGGTAGCTGGGGGCCTGTATGGGGCAGGGGCTGACTGAGCCCCGATGGCATATGCAGCCTGCCAGCAGCTTCAGCAGGTTTTGCCCAGTGTTCAGGAGTGTTCTGTAGGACACCATACTGCAGCAGCCTGCACACCCTACCAGCCTGCACACCAGGAGAGGAAAAACAGAAAGACCTTTAAGGTTTTGTTCGGCAGTCAGCCAGTAGCATTCCCAGCCTGGGGAGCAGAGACCTGCGCCTGGCAGCTGTGGAGGGGCATCGGCCCCAGGGCAGAGGGGAGCAGTGCACCCCTCGCTGGCTCAGGCCTCAGGGCCCTGGCTGGGCTGCAAGGGGTGGAAGTAGAGCCGCAGCCCATCATCGACAGGGTGCACGATGGGCACGGTCTGCATGCTGGGGTAGCCAGGGGTGGCCAGCTCCCAGCGGGCCGTGCTGACCAGCTCAATGGCCAGCAGCTTGAGGATGGCCTGTGCCAGCTCCTTCCCGAGGCAGCTCCGTGCCCCTCCACCGAAGGGGATGTAGTGGAAGCGGCCTGCAGCCTCCGGCCGGCCGGCACCGAAGCGCTCTGGGTCAAAGCTGCTGGGGGGGCTCTGGTAGACAGCAGCTGTCTCATGAGTGTCACGGATGCTGTACATGACGCTCCAGCCTTTGGGGATCTGGTAGCCCTGGAGAAGGGAGAGAAGAGGGAGGAGAGGACTGTTACATACCTGTGCTACTGGAGAGCGAGCAGAGGGTGCCCGCAGACAGCCCCACCGTGCTGCCCACTGGCTCTACAGTTCCTTTTCTCCCCAGCCCAGCTGGGACCCACAGAGGTTGCTGGGTGACACTTCCCCTTGAGCTACACTGCCAAGCACCACCACTGTGTGGGACACGGGGTGCTTGCTCACAATGGCAGGCAGCAGCTCTTTAGCAGCCTGCCAGAGTGTGAGGCACTTACATCGAGCTCAAAAGTCTGCAGTGCCGTCCTGTAGCCTCCTGAGACTGGGGGCAGCACTCGCAGCACCTCCTTAATCACGCAGTCCAGGTAGCGCAGGCGGCTCAGCTTCTCCAGGCTGATGTCTGCGGTGCAGTGACAGCTTTGCCCTGGTGGTGCCGGGAGCTGGGGGCCAGGGCAGGCGCTGCTCCTGGGGACAGTGGCCTCTAGCAGGGCACTGGGCTGGAGGGAATCTTCCTCCACTGGGGCTGGGGACTGGCTCTGGTCCTTGTGAATGTCTTGGGCCATGGGGTGGGAAAGTGTTTTCTCTCTGTCCCTGCTCTGGATGGTCAGAGTGTCCAGGCAGGGTCCTGCAGTGCAGCA